TTTCTGACTGGTGTTGGCCCCGGGAAAACTCCGACGGGGCACCTCCGGAGTCACGCGACACGCCCCAGAACATCTGTGAGATGGGGGGCTCCGTGCTCCATGGAGAGCACTCCGCGCAGAGAATTCAAAAGGACCTTCGGGCACTCCGCCCAGTGCCTGCGACACGGTGGCGGGTTACATTGCTGGAGAAAGACGAGTGGCGAGCAATGTTGAATCTTCAGAAGGTGAAGGGGCAGGACATAGCTTTTTGGGAGGAAGAGACTTGGAACTTCGCGCTGTACGAAGTGTTCATGTTCGCTTTCTCGTACAACATATCTGATTTCGTGAATATGATGAGCAAGTTGAAGTGGTAGCATGTTTTTTCAACGGTCCCACGAGCAGATGACTTCCAGGAGCAGTTTCTGACCTCGTGCATGAGTTTCACCAGCACATCTACGGAACAAGAACGCGCTTCTTCTTAGTTGTGCAACCTCTGCTGGAACAGCCGACCAGACTCTGAGCTACAGATTCCGTCGGAACTCCCGCCCCAGTGTTGAGCGGAACGGTGTCGCGGTCGCCCTCCTCCTCCGATCCGAGCAGCCCTCTGGTCGGAGGCCTGGGAGCTCTTGCCAGGCCGAGCAGGAGGGAGTTCCCAAGGCGTGGTCGGGGACTTCCCTCTCGAGCCAGGTGCCCCGAGGAGAAAACAAAGGAAGGCTGTGGCGGCCTCCCTCCGCGTCGGTTTGACCCCCCCTTCCCCTCCCCCTTCCCCATCCCCCTCCCCCTCCCCCTCCCCCTCCCCCCTCCTCCTCTTCCTCCTCCTCCTCCCCTTCGTCCTCCTCTTCCTCCTCCTCTTCCTCCTCCTCCTCCTCCTCCGCCTCCGCAGGCCCCCCCGAGTACAGCAGGCCCGTGCCGCGTCGTGCCGACGCAGCGGCGACGCCAGCGCGGGGCGAGCAGAGGCCGAACGCCGCCAGGGGGCGCCGGCCCTCAAGCTGGCCTTCTCTTTCGCAGCCCGAGCGGCGTTGGGCCTCTCGTTTGGC